CACAACACCCGGCCTTGTGCCTCTAAGTAAAAAAAAAGGGGGGGGGGGGGGGGGGCAGATTGAGGAGAGCAGCGGTCGGATGTGCCAAAGAGACACAGAGGGGGGACAAGGGCGAGAAAAAAAAAGAAGAAGAAGGAAGAGAGTGAAGGAGGGTGTCATAGAGGGAGGAAAGCACCGCGAGGCGATGATGGTGGTTATGGCCTCGAATGTCAAGGCCATTTGAGGCCAGCCGGGAGCAAGGGGTCTTTGATCATCACACAAGCAGACGCGCGTCATGCGCCCTTGGAGGCAGGCGCAATGAGCAAAGCCGGGGGGAGCACGACTTTATGTGTCCGTGTGGTGTGTGGTGGTGTGTGACGTGGCGTGGCGTGGCGTGGCGTGGTGTGGCGTGTTGTATCAGCCTTTGAGAAGATCACCGAGGCGCTGCCGTTTCATAAACCGGAGACTCTCGGTGTGTGTGTGTGTGTGGAAGACGCCAAATCTGCTTGTGTCACAAGATGTCAGTGTGTGTGTGTGTGTGTGTGTGTGTGTGTGGCGTCGGGAAAGGCAACTCGAGGTGTATGAATGGATGCGCGTGTATGTGTGCAGTCAAAACGCACGGCCGTCACCATGCCACCGCCACTGCATTCACCCCCACCCCCCACCACCATCAACAAGTCGGACTCACCGCCCGCCGCCGCCGTTTCACGAGAGAGAGAGAGAGAGAGAGCGCGCGATGCGCGTGTTACATGTGCGTTGATGAGCAGATCAACATCAAGAAAATGTAAGAGAGAGAGTGAGAGAGAGAGAGAGAGAGAGAGAGAGAGAGAGCGTAAAGAGAGAGAGAGCGTAAAGAGAGAGAGAGCGTAAAGAGAGAGGGAGAGAGAGTGTGTTAAGAGAGAGAGAGCGTCAAGAAAAAGAGAGAGCGAGAGAGCGTAAAGAGAGAGAGAGTAAAGAGAGAGAGCGTAAAGAGAGAGAGCGTAAAGAGAGAGAGAGAGCGTAAAGAGAGAGCGAGAGAGAGAGAGAAAGCGTAAAGAGAGAGAGAGAGCGTAAAGAGAGAGCGAGAGAGAGAGAGAGCGAGAGGTTAGAGAAAGAGAAAGGCATAAACAGCAAAGGCACAGAGAGAGAGAGATAGAGGGGAGAGAAATGAATTGGTTAGAGAGAGAGCCAAGAGAGCAAAGAGAGATAGATAGAGAGTAAAGAGAGCAAAGAGAGATAGATAGAGAGTAAAGAGAGTAAAGAGAGTAAAGAGAGTAAAGAGAGTAAAGAGAGTAAAGAGAGTAAAGAGAGTAAAGAGAGTAAAGAGAGTGAGAGTCAAAATTGGTTAGAGAGAGATTAGAGAGAGAGAATAACGAGAGAAAGGTGTAAACAGCAAAGACACAAAGGAAAAGCACAACTACCACATGTAACAGGGAACAACGAGAGAAAGAAGAAGAGAAAAAGAAGAGCGAGAGAGTAAAGAGAGTAAAGAGAGTCAAGCTTTGTGAATTCAATTGGACAGCTTCTAGTCAGAAAGCGACGCGGTCTAGTTATGGGAGATGAACGGCCAACCGAAAGAGGTCTGGCACGGGATTGATTGTCAGTCGATCGATCAGTCAGTGAGAGAATGGGGCAAAAACATTGAGGGACTCGGGGAAAAAAGGAAGATGTGTTTCTGGGGGCGGCTTGTTCACTCGCTTGGCATGGCGAGGTGCACAAACGGGGAGGTGGACTCGATGAGACCGGGCCCCTAAGCAACGGGCGAAGATGTGGCGGTTCAACAGGACAAATGCCGACGTGCCAACAATTCCCCAGGCTCATAACACGTGGGGTGCTGAGAAAAGGCCGGTGTTGACAGGGGAGGTGCCAAAACCG